ATAAGTCAGTCAGAGAAAGACAAACACCATATGATTTCACTTATGTGAAAATTAAGAAACAAAACAAACAGGCACCTGGGTGACTCAGTTGGTTAAGCATCCAACTTCAGCTCAGGTCATGATCTCGCAGCCCATGAGTTCGAGTCCCACATCGAGCTCTGTGCTGGCAGCTCAGAGCCTGGAGCCTGCTTCAGATCCTGTGTGTCTCCTTCTCTCTCTCTGTGCCCCTTCCCCACTCATGCTCTGTCTCTTTCTCTCTCTCAAAAATGAATAAATGTTAAAAAAAAAAAAAGATACAAAGTAAAGTTACCAGATTTAGCAAATAAAAATACAAGACACCAAGGGGTACCTGGCTGACTCAGTTATCAGAGCATACAACTCTTGATCTCAGGGTTATGAGTTCAAGCATCACGTTGGGCATAGAGCCTACTTAAAAAAATAAAATAGGGGAGGCTGGATGGCTCAGTTAAGTGTCTGACTCTTGGTTTTGGCCCAGGTCATGATCTCACAGTTCATGAGTTCGAGGCCTGCATCAGGCTCTGCATTGACAGTGCAGAGCCTGCTTGGGATTCTCACTCTCTCTCTGACCCTCCCCCACTCACTCTCTCTCAAAAGTGGATAAACATTTTTTTAAAAACAAATAAAATGTTGGGGCACCTGGGTGGCTCAGTCGGTTGAGCATCTGACTTTGGCTCAGGTCATGATCTCGCACTCCTTAAGTTTGGGCCCTGCGTCAGGCTCTGTGCTGACAGCTCAGAGCCTGAAGCCTGCTTTGGATTCTGGGTCTCCCTCTCTCTCGGCCCCTCCCCCACTCATGCTCTGTCTGTCTTTCTCTCTCTCTCTCTCTCTCTCTCAAAAATGAACATTAAAAAAATTTAAAAATAAAATGCATAAATAAAAAAATTTATTTAAAAAAAAACAGAAGACACCAAGTTATAAATTTAAATTTCAGATAAACAAATATTTTTTAGTGTAATTATATCTCATGCAATATAACAGGTCTCAAACTGTGGTCCCAAGACCAGCACCATTAGAGTTAACTGGGTATTTGTTAGAAATGCAAACTCTTCGGGTGCCTGGGTGGCTCAGTTGGTTGAGCGACTGACTTCAGCTCAGGTCTGATCTCACGATCCGTGAGTTGGAGCCCCGCGTCAGGTTCTGTGCTGATAGCTCAGAGCCTAGAGCCTGCTTCTGATTCTGTGTCTCCCTCTCTCTCTGCCCCTCCCCCACTCATGCTCTGTCTCGGAAATAAACATTAAAAAAAATTTTTTTAATGCAAACTCTCGGGGCACTGGGTGGCTCAGTCGGTTGAGTGACCGACTTCAGCTCAGGTCATGAACTCTTGGCTCATGGGTTCAAGCCCCGCATCGGGCTCTGTGCTGACAGCTCAGAGCCTGGAGCCTGCTTCATATTGTCTCTGCCCCTCCCCTGCTTGTGCACTCTCTCTCTCTCTCTCTCTCAAATATAAATAAACCTTAAATTAAAAAAAAAAAGAAATGCAAACTCTCAGGTCCCATCAGCCCTACTAAAACAGAAACTCTGAGGGTAGGGCCAGAAACATGTTTTAACAAGTCCTCCAGGTGATTCTCATGTTATGATTTGTGAACCACTGCTCACTATACCTGTCACTGGCAAAAGGAACTGTAAGAAGCTCATACAAAGAGAAAGGGGCACATAAGCCTATTCAATAAATCAATTCACCATCATCAAATACTAACTGAATAGCCAAAGGGTGTGTAGTAAGTTCTCTGAGAAGGGTCTAAAGCAGTGAATCTCAACTGAGGGCAATTCTGCCCACAGAGGACATTTGGCAATGCCTGGAGACATTTTGGTTGTCACAAACATAAGAAAAGCCTACTGGCATGCAGTGCATAGAAGCCAGGGGTGCTGCTAAGCATGCTACAAGGCACAGAGCAGCCCTCAAACAACAAAGAATTATCCAGCTTGAAATGTCAATAGTGCTGAGACTGAGAAATCTGGATTATAGTGTAAAGATGAATCAAAACATATTTTACCCCAAAGGCTTTAAAAATCAAAGACATTTTTATGAACATGGAAATAAAAAGTTTAAAAAAGTAATGACAAAACATAATTCAAGGTTTCTCACAGTAAAAATACTACAATTATTCCAAGAAGAATTTAAAGGGATTAGTGATACAAAGCTAATACATCACTTTGATGGTAAGAAGCACCTATATGATGATTAATTTTTTTCAGAACTTATGTGAGAGAATAATTTGGAAATGATCAGTTTGAGAACCATATGCAAATTAAAATGCATCTGCAGACTGTATGACCAGAAAACACACATGGCCCAGGAATCATGGAACTTGAGTTCTAGTTTTGTTTTGGTATTAGGTAGCTGTGTAATTTAGCACAAGTCACTCTATTATCTAAGCTTCCATCTGCTAATCTGTAAAATAAGGAGGTTAGACTATTGAAGTCGTATCTAAAACCCCTTGCAGCATTAACATAGGCCGTATCTAAAACCCCTTGCAGCATTAACATATGTCTATGTTGGGGCGCCTGGGTGGCGCAGTCGGTTAAGCGTCCGACTTCAGCCAGGTCACGATCTCGCGGTCCGTGAGTTTGAGCCCCGCGTCGGGCTCTGGGCTGATGGCTCAGAGCCTGGAGCCTGTTTCCGATTCTGTGTCTCCCTCTCTCTCTGCCCCTCCCCCGTTCATGCTCTGTCTCTCTCTGTCCCCAAAATAAATAAATGTTAAAAAAAAAAAACAAACAAACAAACATATGTCTATGTCAAAAAAATGAACACAGTAAACATTCAAAAAAGTTTTTATAAGATATGAGCGGGGATGGCATCATTATATTCCCTGTAGGGTAGTTTTGTATTGACTTGGGGGCTTTTGATTCTTGTGTTTAGAAGGTGTGAAACAAAGTTGTTTAGCTTTTCTTATTTATTTATAATAGCTATATTAACAATTCGTGTTCATTGCAGACAAATCAGAATATATATACATACATACATACATACATACAGATAGATAGATAGATAGATAGATAGATAGATATACACCATTCTTTTTCATTAAGTAACATTCTAAGATGAATTATAGCAGGAATGTGTTAAGATGGTCTAACAAGAGTCGATTTTATTTTTGCAATTAAAAATTGAAGTGAAAGGGGCGCCTGGCTGGTTCAGTTGATAGAGTATGAAATCTTGATCTCAGGGTTGTGAGTTCAAGCTCCACATTGAGTGTAGAGATTACTTAAAGTGTGTGTGTGTGTGTGTGTGTGTGTGTGTGTGTGTGTGTGTATGCATGTATGTATGTATACACACACATATAAAATCATGGGATACCTGGGTGGCTCAGTTGGTTAAGTGTCCAACTCTCGATTTTGGCTCAGGTCATGATCTCATGGTTTGTGAGATCGAGCCCTGCATGGGGCTCTGCGCTGATAGCAGGAAGCCTGCTTGGAATTCTCTCCTCCCTTTTTCTCTGCCCCTCCCCAAATCATGTGCGCACACATACACACACGTGTTTTCTCTCAAAAATAAACATTTAAAAAATATATATCTTTAAAAACACTAGAAACATTTTTTAAAAATTGAAGTGAAAAAGCTTAGAAAATTACTGTTATACTTTGTATGCATGTGCTTAAGGAAGATTACATTATTATTTCACATAATAATTGTCATGCTATTTAAGAGACGAAAGCCCACAACCCTTTCTCTGAAAACATATATTTTAGTTCAGTATGAGATTAAGAATAAAAAGTGTATAAGCATCTGTATACTTACAAAATATAAAACTATAAATATACAATCATAATAATGTCATGATTCCATCTTCAGATATTTTTAAGTTGAAAAAATATATAATTTCTTATTTTTTATAAAAAGAAAAGTTAAAGGGACAAAGTGACTATATTAATATTTCAGAGTCTTTATTGCCAAATGTTTGTGTGTCTGCTCCTATCTCAGTGTTAGAAGTAATTTTCTAGAATTCCAGTCAACAGCATTTGAAATCACTGATGTCCAAAGGCTAACTTACTTTAATATGATGTACACCATTCAGTTTTCCAATCCGCTGCTCAATGGTCCAAACACAGGAACCACATGTCATCCCCTCAACAGAGATGGTGACCAAATCCACAACCATACTTCGATCCATCTTGATTTCTTCTTTACATTCCTATTAGAAACAATGAACAATTTCAGCCATGGAAATAATCCTTCCTCAACTTTACCCCCCAACCTTCTCATCTGAAAATATTTTACTAATAATATATGGTTAGCATTGTTTCCTCTCATCTTGTTTCACCCCCACCTAAAGGCCTTTGCTTTAGCTATTCCCTTGGTTTGGACTTTCTTCTCACAGATGTCTGCTTAGCTAACTTCCTCATCTCTTTCAAGTCTTCACTCAAATCTAATTCTCTTAATGAGTTTTACACTGAATAACCTGTTGCAATCCACATCCCTTCCACACACATACACTCTGATTTCCCTTACCTCTGCTCTATTTCATTTTTTTTTCATAGAATTTATCATCTTCTAATACACTCCATTAATTACTTACTACGTTTATTGCTTATTATTGGTGTTTCTGTGGTGGTTTTAAAATATTCTCACAAATTCTTTGTTACTCCTTCCTTCAAGAGGTGGAATTTAACTCCTTTCCCCGAGTGGGGCCTGGGCTCAGCAACTTGCTTCCAGACAGAATATGGTAAAATAGACAAGTATGACTTCCAAGACTAGGTCATAAAAGGCACTATGGGAGGGGGGAAAATCACTGTGGATTCCTCCTTGTCCTCTCTCTTGAATGGCCTTATCTGGGGGAAGGCATCTGTCATGTCATAAGGACACTCAAGCAGACTTATGGACAGGTTTGTGAGGCAAGAACTTGAGATCTCCTGCCAACAGCCAGGTAAGTTAACCATCTTGGAAGCTGATACTTCATACTTAATTAAGCCTTTAGATGCCTGAAGCCCCAGCCGACATACTGACTACAACCTCATGAGACCCTGAGCCAGAACCACCAAGCTAAACCATTCCCAAATTCATGACTCACAAAAACTGTGATATAATAAAGGTTTGTTGTTTCAAGCCACAAAAGTTTTAGGCAATTTGTTACACTGCAATAATTAACTAATACACATCCCACTGGAATGAAAATTCCATGAAGGCAGGAATATTTTTTTCCCACTGATATTAGTTTGAACCATATGAAACTGCCATTGTTGTTTATCAAAATAGTTGAATACTGCCTATTTCATATAGATTAACCTAATATATCCCATGGAAACAGTGTTTTCCTCTTGTGAGAGGAACTAAATGGTCAGGGGATAAAGGTGGAAAATTTCAGTATGTAACCTTTTGTACCTCTTTTTAAAGTTCAGATATAATTGACATAACATTGTATAAGTTTAAGGTATATAATGTGTTGGTTTGATATATTGATATATTGTAAGGATTACCTCCATTAGCTAACATGTCTAACAGGTCACTTAATTACCACTTCTTGTTTTGTGGTGAAAACAATTAAGATCTAGGGGCGCCTGGGTGGCTCAGTCGGTTAAGCGTCCGACTTCGGCTCAGGTCATGATCTCATGGTCCGTGGGTTCGAGCCCCGCGTCGGGCTCTGTGCTGACAGCTCAGAGCCTGGAGCCTGTTTCAGATTCTGTGTCTCCCTCTTTTTCTGACCCTCCCCTGTTCATGCTCTCTCACTCTCTGTCTCAAAAATAAATAAATGTTAAAAAAAAAAAAGATCTAGTTTCCTTTGTATCTTTTGAATTTTGTACCATGAGAATGTATTTTCTCTCTCTCTCTCTCTCTCTCACACACTCACACACACACACACGCACACACACACACACACACTCTCACACAAGTATAGTGGACCTGAAATAACAGAAAACAATAATAGAGATGGGAGTTTATTATAGTTGAGACATTCTGAGATCCCTTGTCTTTGTTCGGAATGTATAAAGAGAAAGAGATAAACCTTAGATTTTGTTAGGAATATATGTTAAAAATTTGAAGGTAACTGGTGGGAGACTAGAAATACAATATATAGCTTTCTTAAAATTTTTTTTTCAACGTTTATTTATTTTTGGGACAGAGAGAGACAGAGCATGAACGGGGGACGGGCAGAGAGAGAGGGAGACACAGAATCGGAAACAGGCTCCAGGCTCTGAGCCATCAGCCCAGAGCCCGACGCGGGGCTCGAACTCCCAGACCGCGAGATCGTGACCTGGCTGAAGTCGGACGCTTAACCGACTGCGCCACCCAGGCGCCCCTACAATATATAGCTTTCAAAACAGTAGAGGGAAAAAGACAATAAAGAATATTAAATAAACCAATACAGAGCAATGAAGATAAATGAAAATTTCAAGAAACAAGTAAGAACATCTTTCTATAAAACTCTTCTTGTTAGAGGCTAGTGTGAAATGATTACAATAAAGTAGCACTAGAATCAGGCTTAAGAAATTACTCAGGAAAAAATTAGAGACTTCCCAATGTATATCTGAGGGCCTCTCTTAGAGCACCATAGATTATTCGTGTTTAGGGTATTAATTAGAAAATGTTAAATTATTTAAGAAAAAATTATATTTGTAACAATACATTAGCTCAATCTAAGGAACTTGCAAATAATACAGATTTGCAAAAAAAAAAAAAAACTCTTTTGCAAAGATTTCAAATTATGTAGAAAACACCATTTTGTATAAGAGGAATATTGAAGTAAAGTAAAACTGTTACCCAAACCAGTGATGAGAGAAAAGAAGAAGAGCAGGAAATAATCAGTTATTATTAAGATGCTATCAGCTAAAATTGAAGTACAAATAAAAATACAAGTCTTATCCAATATTCATTAGAGGGTTCTCCATGCCCTTGGATAAAGATCCTGTTTTGTGACCATAATCAAAAATTAGAGACACTGAAGTGTTTCAGACTTGTCAAAATTAACAATGGCCAACTACAGAACCCAAAAGTGGGTTACAAATACTATGATTTATATTGACTCTATTTTGCCCCCAAAGACATTTCCTTTAAAAATGCTAAACTACAAGATGGATTTTTTTTTTTAAATAAGAACGCTATGTAAAAATATTTCTAGAAAGACTCACAAAAAAAATCAGCAATATCACAGTTACCTCTAGGGAGGAAAAGAGACTGGGTGGTTGAGGGGGCAAGCTTTTACATTTTAAATTATGTCAATATAAAACCAATTAAAATTAAATAAAATTTATGAGAAACTATGTAAACTAAAACATTTCTTTGCAATAAATTTACTCCAAGTGGTATAAAAACAATTACTACATCATCTTAGCTTTCTAAGCTCTGAGAAACAAACAGAAACTGCTGCAGAACCACATCCTCTGCTCCTAACAAAGCAGGTAAGTGGACTCCTTACTTCTTTGATGGATTTCTGTGGAGCTTTGAACAACTGGACCATCAATATAATTTCCAAATATCTAAAATCGCAGAAGTTCCTTGAGGATAATTTGTTTTCAAATGTTAATTGGTTTTCAGCACATATTTTTCATTATATGTATTATTTCTTGAGATATAATTCACACTATAAAATTCACCCTAAGATGTATAATTCAGTGGTTTTTAGTAATACAATTCAGTTTTTAGTAATATTCACAATGATATGCAATCATAATGACCATGTAACTGCAGAACATTTTCATGACCCCCAAAAGAAATTCCATACCTATCAGCAGTCACTCCTCAGTCCCCTTACAGCTACTGGCAAACATGAATCTACCTCCTATCTCTATGGATTTGCCTATCCTGGTTAATTTCATAAAAATTGATTCATTTAATATGTGGCTTTGTGTGTCTGAGTTCTTTTACTTAACATAATATTTTTAAGGCTTAACAATGTGTAGAATGTAACTGTACTTCATTGTTTTCACTTATTTGATGGCATCCTTTGAAGCAAAAAAACCCTAATTTTGGGGCTTCCTGGGTGGCTCAGTCAGTGAGGTGCCTGACTTCAGCTCAGGTCATGATTTCAGGGTTCGTGAGTTCAAGCCCACATGGGGCTCTGTGCTGTCAGTGCAGAGCCAGCTTCGATCCTCTGCCTCCCTCTGCCATTCCCCCACTAGCGCTCTCTCTCTCTCTCAAAAATAAATAAAACATTTTTAAAAACTTAATTTTGATGAAGCCAAATTTATCATTTTTTTCTTTTGTTGCTTTGCTTTTGATGTCCTATAGAAGAAACCACTGTCACACTGAAAGTCGTGAAGATTTATTTCTATGTTTTCTTCTGAGAGTTTGGTAGTTTCAGCTCTTACATTTAGGTCTTTTAATCCACTTTGAGTTAATTGCTGTATATAGTGTGTGGTAGAGATCTGAGTTACATTCTTTTACATGTGGATGTCAAGTTTTCCAAGGACCATTTTTTTAAACAGCTTTACTGAAATACAGTTTGCATATGATTCACACATTTAAGGTATAGAATTAAATAGGTGTTATATTCAGATATGTGCAACCATCACCATGGTGAATTTTAAAACATTTCTGTCACCTCACAAAGAAGCCCCAGACCCTTTAGGTATCACCCTCCCACCTAAACCTCCCACCCCCCTTGCCAGGCAACCATTAATCTTTCTGTCTGTATAGATTTTCCTCTTTTGGACATTTCATATGAATGAAATCATATAATATGTGGTCTTTTGTGACTGGCTTCTTTCACTTAACATAATGTTTTCAAGGTTCATCCATGTTGTAGCATGTGCCAGCATTTCATTTCTTTTTTATGGCTGAATTAAATTCCATGGTATGGATATACCACTTTGTTTATCCATTCAACTGATGGACATTTAGGTTGCTTCATCTGTTGGCTACTAAAAATAAGGCTGCTATAAATATTTATGTATAAATGTTTGTGTTTTCATTCATCTTGGATAATAATTAAGAGTGGAATTGCTGGGTCCTGTAACTGTTTTAATTGAGGAACTGCCACACTGTTCCCCAAAGCAGTTGTGCCATTTTACATTCCCACTGGCAGCATATGAGGGTTCTAATTTCCCTACCTCCTCACCAACACTTGTTATTATCTGATTTTTTAATTCTAGCCATTGTAGTATATGTTAACTGGTGCCCAAAAGTTTTTAATTTTGATGATGTTCAATGTATGTATTTTGTTGTTGTTGTTGTTTT